AGGATTAGTCCTTCGCTTCAGTCGAATATGTGTATATATATGATACGTTCTACTGCTGGCAGTGACTAGGCCACTAAATCTTTTCAATTTTGTTATTAATGACAAAAAAGGAATATTAATACTTCGGTACGAATTGGTCTGCTAATATTAATATTATGGAAAATACACCGATTTGGAAGCTAATTTTACGCAATGTCCGTCTTACTGTCCTCCTGTCCGTCTTTTAACTCTAATACAACCATGAATTCATATTATTCATTTATTTTTTTTTTTTTTGCCAAAAATATTGTATTATAAAGAACATAGGCAGAATATTTTCATAAAAAAAAAATATTTTCAAAAATGATAATTAAAATATTTGCGTTACTTCTCTAATGTACTTCAGGCTAAACATACTTTTCAGTTGCCCTTCTAAATTGAAGCTCTCGAGTAGGAATTCATAGATCTATAATGTATCTTAAGAGACTAGGTGTCCGTAGAGCTCAACAAGAGAGCAATACTTTGGTATGTCAACAGCAAAGAATACGAAGACATTTATATTCATCAACCGGCACAAATACTGGCAGCAATTGCTTTGGCACCATGTTAGCAGCTGCCCCTCTTTATGCTCGGGGGAGGAGCGGGGGGCAAATTGCCATTAACATAATTTATATACTAACAAAGACGTTGTCGCATTACGATTTACATAACAAGTTGCTGGGGCTATAACGATGTGGCCAATAGGTTTTGATTAATCCACGGCAGGTGCAGTCGAGTGCCGTGCTCCACACCTGGGCTCCACACCTAATTGTTAGTCAGCCAGCGACAGGCCACGTCAGAGTAAACCATCAAAATATCAACGTAAAGCACACGCATCGAGAAAATCATATCGAGGCAAAAAAGCATAATTTGGTCACGTGCAGCGCAATCGAAGGCGAGACAACATTCTCCACAAGGGCCGACGCGACGTTTAGCTGAGCTAAGGCTGCCCGCTCATTTTGATCCTTGTGTCCGGACTGCGAAAGCTTATCAGCCGCAAAGAGTCTAAGTCGGAAAGTGAAAGGCAGCGTAATGAAAATAGATTTTCTTTTTTCGCCTTCTTTTCGCACAGCGCATATCCCTCAGGGGTGAGCGAGCAGGATTGTCCTGGGCAACCGAACAGGGAGAGATAAGTCTCTGAAATTGAATTGAAATACAATTTCTTTCTTTTCGCCTTCTCCATGTGCCGAGTGCAATTAGCGAAATGATATTACAAATAGTAGTATTTGCTTTATGTTGGCTACCCTGGCAACTCTGCCTCAACTTGTGGATGGGCAGATTAGAGTTGTAGTTTACTGCCCAGCTGTTAAACAGATCTGTCCTGTCTGTTTACACCTGCCAACGAAGTAGCTCCCAATAGCTCCGAGCTCCGTTCTCTAGTTAAAATTCCCGAGCCTTTGCTAATGAGCGTCTGGCCGACAGCTGAAAAGATCCTCGGGCCACAGCAAATTTAATTGTGGTCAGTCTCAATTACAAAGTGCGTGCCAAATATGTAAAGGAACAAAAAAAGAAACAGGAACGATAGCCATAAACAAGTAAACACGTTGTCGACGGTCTCAACCAGCTGCATAATACTCGTTGCTTGTCCAAAAACTAGTTTAGACTAGAATGGAATTGCTATTATCTACGTTCAAATGGGAAAATATACATATACACAAAATAGATCAAATATATCAAAAATATAGCTAAAATCATTACTCAGACAGACTGATAGATATACGAATATTGCTCAGTGCCAATATACTCCTATCATCTCGAGTAACGGGTATAAAAACACAATCGCATAACTGGCATTCGCCTGGGACAGAGGCCAGTTTAATAACAAATAATATAGCAGGACATGAGGGTAGTTTCTTCGGTTTTTTTATCCGATTGCCGACTCTTATTCGTATTATTTGCTCTGGCAGATAATGAGCAAAAAAAATGATGAGGGCAACGGACCGAGCATATGAAACCCAAAATCCTGCCTCTCGCATATGCAGTAAAGAAAACTCGTGTGCAGGTCCTGCGAACGGCGTCCAGTGTCCTGAGTCCTGAGTCCTGTGTACACTTGTATTTGTGAAAGGCAACATGCATGCAGCTCACGTATACGCTTAATTTTTTGTTTTTCAGAGTCCTCGCAGACACGCCCTCCAATCGGCATTTGGGGACTTTTTCACTATGGCGGCTTGGATTTGTCCAGTCAATATTTTCATTTATCTTACGCTAATGGTTAAAATCAAATAAAATTTTGATTGGCTGTGTGCACTTATTCAAATGTCATAAAATACGGCAATCAAATGAGATAATCTGATGCAAATGTGATATATTTATAAATGAAGTCCTCGTTGGGGTTTATTGTTTTAAATAACTTTCTGTATAGAGGATATGCAATTCGTTATTAGCACATATTGCCGCTTTTTATGTTATTTTCATTCCATTTTCACTGTCTATCTCTCTCTGGCTAAAATGACTATGCATGGAGGCTTACTGGCCTGGTCTATGCTGGGACTGGACCTGGCTGACTTTGGACTTGAAAAGGTATTTGCTCTGCAGCTTTGTCTTTCGCTACATGATTATATATTGTACGTCCGTCCACATATACATATGTACATAATATATTTTTTATTTTTGGGTACTGCTGGACAGACCTCTCTAGAGGATACGACTTATATCCGATTACAACACCACAACTTTTGTCTACGTGTTTTTTTATTTTTTTTATTCTATACTGTGGGTGCAAGTGACGTGTGAGTGACTTTTTTACATTAAATAGTCTGGAGCTATCTAATGGAGCTAATGTATGGGGATATCTGAAATTGAGTTAAAAATGTCATAAATTTCAATTTTAGCTATTAGCTTTGTGAGAGAAATATATACACGGAATGATGGCAATGTAAATATATTTATTTTGGAAGTAAGGTATCAGGTTTACTTAGTAATAAATTAGAATAAAGTAAATTTTAAAGGAACTGTTTCCATACCTTACGAGTTCGGATACGAATATCAATAGAATAATATGCGTGAACTAAAATATCGTTCTACCTTAAAATCAACTCTTAAATCTACAAAGCATTTTAGTAAATTTAAGCACAAAGAGAAATAACTATTCTGCATTCATACCGTTACTGTCCCATACTTTTATTGCTAGATTCCAGGTATTCACACGTCTCGTTAGACTCCCCCGAAAACGGCCTCCCAAAAACAGTTTGACTCTCATCAGCAGACTGATTACATATTTATTACGTTTCCCATGCTCAACTTTTGAGCTTGCCACAAATTCTTGTTTACTTTAATGTGCAGCCCTATCCCAGACCCGCTCCCGCTTCGGCTGTATGGCCTGTTCGAAGCATAAATAACGGTGTGTGCGTGTGCGTGACACAGGAAAAGAAAACTATAATTACAGCAGAGGCAAACCACAAGAGCCATCCAGCCAGCCAGTCAGCCAGTCAGCTAGGCGGACGGACGGGCAGACATTGATGAGGAGGCGTCAGTCAACGTCGATGTCGCTGGGAGAGCAAAAGGCTCAAACGAAGAAATTAATATTTTAATTACAACACATTTAACATGGGATTATGCGCTTCAATGAACTTCTGCTTGAAGCTCAACCAGGGTGGCTACATCACACACACACAGACGCGTGCACAGGCAAAAAAAGTGCACACACATGTAGCCCCACGGCACAGTGGGTGCTAAAAGTGTCTCAACTTATTACAGGACTACAGCCTAACGCGTTACATCCGCCTGTTAAGCGGGCAAAAGTAACTGCAGCAGCAGCGCCTGAAATAACAGCAACAGCCACAGCAACAACAATAACAATGACGGCAACCGACGCTGTAACGAGGCTTAATAAAGCGCTAGTCATAAACGGCACGAACTAAGCTCAGCACGTACAGCACTTTAATTACAAGCCAGCCGAGCGAAGCCGAAGTCCGTTTGATCGTTCGGCAACATGCAGACAAAGCGAGCAAGGCGAATTCCTTCATTACCCTAACAGAGCGGCTAAGCTGCTAGAACAAGACAACAGTAGCCGCAGAGACAGCGAATGTAATGGACATCTGTTAAGTTAACAGGCTGCTTCTAAGCTCGGTCACTGTCGCTGTCGGCGTCGCCGTCGCCATCGCTTCCATTGATGCTGTTGTCGCCGCTGCTGTTTCGCGCTGTGGTGGGGCTCTGCTTTGCCAGCTGTCGTCGTCATTGTCAACGACGAGCGACGGCGTTGAGTGTTAATCAAAGCGTAGTTAATTGCTTTGCCGAAAAAGCCAAAAAGAAAGACAGTGATTGTGTACTGCCAGCGGGCAGAGTGAGATAGATGGCAAGGGTTGACGTTGGCGTCGGCGTCGGTGTTGGCGTTGGCATTGGTGTCGACGAAGCAGCGAGTACATGTGTGCGCCTTTTGATTAACTTAACCCCTTTTCAGCTACCGCCGCCTCTGTCGCTGGCACCATATGTTGTTGTTGTGTTCATTGTTGTTTGTTGCATGTCTAATTTGGCAAGTGTTAAGTGTCCGTCTGTGCAGCCTGGGGGGAACGAGGGGGACAAATGGCAGCGGCAGTCTACAAAAACAATAAATACTAATTAAAATGTATTTAAATACAAATGCAGACACGAACATGCCGAACACACACACAGACACAGCCACAAGCACACGCACACACTCGTGAATTTTTATGCGCTATGAAGCGTATGTTTTTGCTAGTTCAACCCCCTTTCAACCCCGCCTCTGCCAAACAGCAACAGTCAGGCAAAAGAGTCTGGCGCCAGGCAGCGTCTACTCGAATGCATGCGTTGGTGTGTGTGTGTGTGTGTGTGTGCGAGCGTGTGTGCATGTTGTTTACTTGTTTTTGCACACTAGCGCCACCTAACGGAAATGTTTCATAAAAACTTAATTGTCCATGTAACACTTTTTTTATAGCCCAGCGAGCCAAAGCCTTGTTAGCCCTTAAATACCGCGTGTGCCATTGTTATTAAAGACTTGTTGGCCATTATTAAGAATCTCGATCTAGCAAAAGAAAACTGTTTTTATTGGGCGCTGTAATTATGTTAGGCACTCAGATTTGAGGAAAACTACAAATTGAATATGAATTTGAGCAACATATTCGAAAGACATTACAAAACTTATCAGTACTTCCCCATTTGTAGGATACAAATTCATTTGCATTTGAAACTCCAGCTTCACAAGTTCCGCGTGAATTGCAGAGCCTGTGTAAATATAAAGCAAACGGTTCATAAAAGCAATATGGGACACTATTGTAATCAGGGAAAAGTGAACTCCAGTGCTTGCAACGACTCACCCTCCGTCTCTCTCGCTGTGGTCCTCTCGCCTTTTTTACTCCAGCAAACAGAGGAAAAAAACTTTAGCGACATCATCCATTCGCATCTGTTCGATTGGATCGTCGTCTCCCACAGACCTGGTCCATAACAAAAAGATCCGCCATGAAAAGAAAAATAGATTGAATTGCGTGCAAAATGCGTTTGCGTGCGTGTGCGTGGCAGGCAAATGCCGAAAAGGGGTCGTGGCAGAAGAGTGTGAAAGAAAGACAAAGAGAGGAGAGAGGAGGGGCGGCACAGCGTGCACCAATAAAGTGCTACACGGTAGTTGAATTTTCGGCGGCAAAGACGAAAACAAGAATAGCTGCACGAAGTTCGCATACACTTACCTACATTGCGGGTATTTATATGATAAATAAAGATTTTGATATTAGAAATATTGGAATTGGAAGAGATTAGGATATTATTAAGGCTTATAATATGTATGTTTCAAGTTATTTTGAAATATTTTTTTAATTTTAAAAGATTTTAAGGACTGTGTCATGTACGAAGAGCTTAAGCCCAGAAATGAATATCTGTATGTAAGAAAAATATTTTTATTATAGACATGAGAATCTAAGGAAGGATGCTGGTTAGAAATGGCCTGAACGAATGTTTTCAAGGCTTCATGATCTGCAATATTTTAATTTAAAAGCAAATCCATATCTAATCGATCTAGCAAAAGAATAAGCAATAAGAAAATATAACGAAATACATTTAATACAAATCCAGACTCTACAAACTGAGTAGCTCAATAAAATAAGAATTCAAGGTACACTCTTTAAAAACATGTCGCTTATCAATATCAATATTTCTATTTCTAAACATTTTGATATAAATAGTATGCACAGTTTGGGAGGATGCTGTCTATAATGCCACTTTTAATTTGATTAGCTTAGTTCAAGGCTCGAATACCTCGCTGTAGTTCCATTTATTTTAGCAAGTTTTTAGCTATCTAAATTTTAAATTTTGATGACTAAGATTGTTGTGTCTCTGTCTCTTTTCATGTGTTGCCAAAATCTCTTTAAACGCAACCGACCCTCTCTGCTCTGGAGCTCGCTGAGCGACAGAGACAACATGCGCCCCAGACGAGGTGTCGTCTGTCTGTCTGTTCGCTCGTCTAAATGTTGTACGTGTAAAGCATTTAAAGTAATGAAGCGCCCCTGGGCTAAGGTTTTGCCCTACGAGAACAGAGGGATGAGTGCAAATCGGGAGCAGTCACGATGAGCAGGCAGTGGCCAGTGGGCGGGCAGATAGAGACAGAGTAGAGGCCTCTCAATGATGCGTCCAAATGTGGTGTGTGTCAAAAGGTGTCGCCTGGACATATCAATGTGTATGTTGGCTGGCAGAGGGGGTCAATAGCAAACTCTACGGTGTGCGGGATGCGGGATGCGGCATGCGGCATGTGGCATGTGCCGTGTGCTCTCTGCTCTGTGGCAGCAACGGCTGTGCATGGTAATTTATGTGCGGCATTTAAATTGAGCTCGCACGCCCGCTGGCCAGCGAACAAATTGTTTAAACAAACATTTGCGAGCTCCCAACGTAACCATACGAGAGACAGAGACAGAGCGAGAGACAGAGACAACGAGACAGCGAGTGAAAAGGAGGCGAATAGAGCTTTTCCTGCTGCAGAATTTTACTTGCGATCCGTTCTGTTTTATGCCCGAGTTCCCATGCTTGTCTTTGATAAATGTTTGGCTTTTTCTTATTGTGCTCCAGCTCCCGTTTCTTCCTTCTAGCTGCTTTTCACGCACTTTCCTTGGCGCAAAGACATTTTACGTGCTCGACGATTATGAGCAAAGTTTTTAGGTTATTAATCAATTTAATGACTTTGCACTTGGACCTAGACTCCTCTTATTGCTGGCTGGCGTTGTTGTTGTTGTTGTCTTTTAAGACTTTTAGATTGGATTTATATTGCGAAATAAAGTCTAAATGAAATTAATTTCATTTAGGACTGGACTGGACTTTACTTAAACATGCCTCCAGACAATTTAAATACAGATAATGTAAAACAGCTAACATTCTACTTTTAATATACATTAAAACTGAAGCAACAAAATGAAATTTTCTTCTACAGAGAGCTCTTCTGTCTATCGTATAAAATCTGATCTGTATTCATCACCTGGGAAATACTCAGTAAATTGAAAATAATTTCACAATTTTCCAAATATTAATTTTTTTTTTTTTTTTTCGATATAATAAAAATGAATATTTTAAAGCAGTTTTCTCTTACCCATAAAAGTCAATTTTACGAGAATTGCTGTAAATTTCTAAGAGTGATACTTATGATGCTTCCTCCTAGTGCCATGTAATCTAAATGACACGCTTTATCAGTGTCTCGGCCTGCGTAGGGAATTGAATTTACCAGACTGATTTCCTTTGCTCAGCAAGCACTGAGTTTTTCTGCTGTCAACTTCTTATTGATGACAATTCGAAACATCAAACTCAAAATCGAAACCCCAATCAGAAGCAGGGAAATCCTGACAGCTAGCACCTGTTGTTGACTCAAACCCTGTCAAGCTCTTAGCAATTGTGCACTGAGGAGAGAAACCCCTTGGCGCCTTGACAGGGGACTCGCAAATCCAGAGCCAATGCCCAAAATCATATCATACAGGGAACAATGGTATAGAATCGACTGCGTAATACCCGCTTCCAATAAAGCTTATTTATAGGCTTAGACTTGGTAATAAAGGTACGATATATGTTATATAGAACCGATATATATTTATATAGATACTTAGATACTTAGATATATAGATATATAGATATACCTATATAAATAGATATATATTTTTATAGATATACAGATATTTAGATACATAGACAAACGAAATTAATATACTTATTTGGCTGTGCCATACCATTTGAGTATGTTTCATTGCTCGCTTGGTTGCACTTTTTTAGGTTTCTTTTTGGCCTGTTTGTTGTTCGTTGTTTGCTCAGCTAGAAGAAGAGGAAGAGCTACATTCATCGGCTCATTCGTCACCCGTCGGCATCATAAACCAATTTTAATAAAATTTTCCAATTTGTTTAGTTGAATTTAAGTCGAGGCTAACGGCAGCACCAGCAGCAGCATCAAATCCCAGCTAAGTAAACATCTATCAAGAGGGGTTGCTCGGGCCGTGTTGCTGTTTACATGCGACCTGTCAGCTGTGTGTGTGTTGGTGTGTGTATAGACACCCTCCCCAGAGGCCCGAGGCAGGGGTGTGTAGCGGGGTTAGCTTGAAGACTTGTCGAAGACGCGTGCTGTCATTTTTATACCCTATACCTCTATTTACAATTATTCATTAGGGCGTATTACATTTGGCATATGCGGAAGAATATTAGAGTATTCGGTATTATTATACCGAATCTGTTCATCCCTTACAGTCTCCGCAGATCCCCCTTTCCACCAAGTTATTAAAAACTTGTTTCGAAACTGATTTGGAGCTGCAAATCTTCAAGGTATACAGAATGTTTGTAAGCCCAAGGAAAGCGGAAGAATAGTAAACTTTGTCCAAGTCAGGTCTCCTGCTCTTGGTAGGAGCCTTGAAATAATTCCTTTAATTTGTGAAGCTGGCAACCCTGCCAACAAGGCTTTCAAACTTGCATTTGCGAATGAATAGCATGGCTACTCCCCTTCCCAGAGCTGAGCCAAACGCTGCTTAATTTTAAATTAGGGTGGCAATTTTCGTGCCATGTGGCGGGGCGAATGTTCCGGCTGTGTTTGTGATTTTCATTAATGCTTTGGCAGAATTGCAGCCCCGGCAGACTCTGCAGGCCAACTGCAACCACCCAGTCCCCTCAGCAGGGTTAGACAGTCCTGCAATTATGCGCCATGACTTTGACTTTCTCGTACTCCAACTGGTTCGCTTGCCGAACGTGAACCAATGCGCATTGTCAGTTATCAGGAATCAAACAGCGGAACCGCCGCACTCGTCCTTTGTTTTCGGGCACTCGCCGAACGATCTGCCCACTTGAAGTCAATCTTCAGTATTTGCAATCAATTTAATTTCAATGACAAAATTTGCATCGCTCTGGAGGTAGGTGGGGAAGAGTTGGGAGGTAGGCCCCATTTTCTATGCAGTTGCCTTTGAATGAGCTTGCGAGCGTAGGCTTTGCAGAATTTGTGTAAATATGCAAATCGAAAATGCAAATTAGTTGAATTTTGATTTTCTTTTGAATGGAATGAAGGCGAATGAATGAAACAACCCGAAGTCGAGTCGAGCTCCACCGAGGCAGCAGCTGAAACAAAAGCTAAGGAGATTCTGATCATGTCATCTAGAAAGAATCGAATATGCGTAAGGGTGCCCCCTAGGTCAGAGGCAGGGCATGTGGGCGATGTCTGCGTAGTCGAGTGTGTTTTAGCAAGAGATTTGGTTAGATGCCCTTATTTTACCAAAGCTAAAAGCTTTGAAAGAATACTTTATGATATAGACAGAATAAATTTGATTTATTAATATACTGCTTATACCCTGAACACATTGAGTACGGTAAATCAATCAATGATTGTGTTAAATTAGACGCGTGGCAGAACGTTCGTCTGTCTGCCCATAAACTATCTAAACTGTGGAATTTCTCGTGGGATATTGCCAGTATCCATTCAGAATAAGTACAAGTTTAGTAACAAGTGTAGGCTTCACGACTAGCAGATACACCGAGCCCAGCGAAAAGCTGGTATACCAATCATTCTACGCTTCTTTATCGAAACATATTGAATAACCTTAATTCTAGATGGAGTGTCTTAACCTAACTTTTCCATAATACAAAAATCTGCATTATGCTATCTATATAAATATTGACAAATAACTTCGAGCCTGACAATGTACTGCTCACAAAACCGTATGAAGAGGCACTCGAGATGCCTACGACTCGGCATTCATCCTGCTCATCCCTCTGACTGCCACTCGAAATTCCACGCACACGAGTCTATGGAGACTACGATTATATGCGTGCAAAAGATTCGCATAGACTGTGCCATTTCACGTCAAGCGTCTACCCATTTGTAAACGAAACGAGTATATTGGTTTTGCGCACCGTCCATCGGAATATGTGACCGCATGAGCATAGCTGAAAACTAGTAAAATCAACTAGTGAATTGAAGTTGACCTCTTTTATATATTCAAAAGTTGAGTTATTAGTTCAGGGCTTTCGAATAAAGACTCCACTATTTTATACCCTAAGCAAGTATTGGGCGGTCGGCTACGTTCGGCTATAACATTCTTATTTGTTTACATATATTTCTTTAAGCGAACAAAAAGGGATTAAAATTTCACAAAACGAAATGCATTCCATGAATAGCCTAAATATTTTTCAAATTAAAAATGAAAACAGGAGCAGGAATGAGAGAATGAGAGTCACTCTCAAGTTTCATGAGCAATAGGCAACCCTTTTTGGTTGGCAAGCAGCAACCCTATGCGTGGCATTTGGCACACTATTATTACATAATGCTCACGGCTTTTATTTCGTTGATTATGAAGGCTGTTGCGGCACGCGTTGCCTTAAAAAAGAATTCAATTCAAAATAAATCGAATCGCAGGGTTGCTCAGCAAGCTACTCCAATTGAATGCAAATGCAAATTTCGATTTGA